TTGGCCAGAACTGAGTAACATGTCCATGCTGCTGCAAGGGAGAGGCTGAGAAAACAGGTACCTGGCATTTTTAACCTCTGTAATGGAAGGCTGGCTCTGCTGTAAGCAAAGACTGAAATTTTGGTCTATTTTATTTACTGCTGTATCCCCAGTACCTAGGATGGTGCCAGGCACTCAGTAAATATCTATTAGATGAGTCAGTTAATGAGTAATGAGAGAATTTAACATCCATAAAGTGCCACAGAAATGAACTTAGACACTGAGGGCATATTATGCTCCTGTCTTATCCATTTTCTCTTGTAGTACCTTGAACCAGAGTCTCCTGGTTGGGACTCTCAGAATGAGCTCTTAGATTTCCAAGCGTTCCTTACATCTTTTAATAAGGCAGTATCAGACCTTGGGTAATTAGGACATTTGGCAACACCCTCCACCCAACCCCACTATTGTTAAGACTACTCGTTTGTTTTTTAATCTAGGTGTACAAATTATAGACCAGGTCTGATTTAGGTGTTTAACCATTTTACATAACAATTGTAATCTAAGTGACACAGAGCACTCACTTTCCAGTCATTAGAATAAGAGTGGCCTCAGACTGCTGTTAGATGTCACATTCTGAGTTTGTTACTCCTTTTGAATTAGTTTTGTGGGTCAGGAATATTGGGATGTGGGCATCAAACAGGTGTCCCTAACCTTCCCAATTAGGCTCACTCCTCAAGGCATCCAACAGCTGGGTTGATGACACAGCCATTTCTCATTTTAATCTGGTGACTAAACTATGGTCCCTTAAGCCAGACTACACAACTGTAGTTCCACCCTCCACTTCATTGCTGGTTTCTGTGGCCCCAATCTGGGTTAGGCTGCTGCTGACTAAAGCCATTGTCAGCTTGAGGCTGGAGTGGAATTTAGAATTCCAAGCTCAGTGTTGGTCACAAAAGTAGAAATGTTAAGATTGGGCAGAAGACTATATAGTAAGATAAGGGAAGGGTCTCTTCACTATTAATAATAATATATTATTTAGATATATTCTCACACGAGGGACATTTTTAAAAGTTATGGTATTTGTCTTTGGGTTTGTTTCACCCATCAGTACTGTGATAGGACTTATTTTCATTTTGTCTCACTATTTTCATATGTACTCCTAATGTGGCAAATGAAACTATAGTTTCTCATTGAAAGAGGTGTCCATATGAGTTGGATTTCCAGTGTGTCCCATGTGTTTCCAAAGGACAAGTTCCATTTAAAAATGCAACCAATATTCTTCTCTTTATACATGACTCCCTAGACACCATCTTAGGTGTGGCCATATCTGTTCCTTCTGATATATTTGCAGACCTCATTTTAATTAGTATTACTTTGCAGGATTTGAGGATTTCAGCTAAAAGGAATAATGGCTTTCTAAATATTTCTTTAGATGCTAACTCAGTGACTTGTATGGAATAGGTACTTAATAACTATTCATTGAATAATTTGTTGGGAAATATTCTTGGACACGTTTCCACTCTGGGCATTAATATATATAGGCACTTGAGTACCTTTTGTTTGAACAGGTTCCATCTTTTTTTCCTCGTAGTTTATGTGGTAGTAGAGTTCTTTATTTAGCTTAATCATGTCTCTGGTCAGTGATTCATTCCAATCCTATTAGACCTAAATGTATTTTTAAGTCTATAACCTTGGACAAATTATATAATCTTTTGAGGTCTTGGTTTTCTTATTGATAAAATGAGAATGATAACAGTACTTACCTCATCAAACTGTCATGGGTAAATGAATTAATGCATGTAAAATACTTAGAGCAACTGCCATTCGTGTCAGCTATACTAGTTGGTAAGTTACAACTGTTCATTTACTAAAAATAAAAAATCAACAAAAACTTTCTGTGAGCATCAATGAAAGCATTCTATGAGCATTAATTGGCTTTATGGGATTTACAATAAAGCATGTTGCATATATTCATATTATATGGAAATTGTATGCTACATATTCTTTATGTTAGTAAAATTTGTAACAAACATATGTGTGTATATATATGCACACAATATTTTCGTTGTTTTAAAGATTTACCACTGTATAACACTGCCTCCACTTTTGTCCCTCAAGCTTATGGGTGGTTCCCTAGCATATGGATAGTGTCTGGACTTAGCTTGTAGCAGATGCTGTTGGTATCCTACCCAGATCTCCTTTACTGGACCACTGCATCCATCTCCCAGCTGCTGTGAATATTGGCTGCTAATGACTCACACCTGTACCCTTCTCTAAAGGACTGCCCTTGGCTGGAAGTAATTGCCTCAACCAAATATGTTTGGCAGATTATGAAATCAGGCCCCAATCCCCTCCTGTTCCTCAGGGGTGGCTCATAGCCAATGACTATACAGGGGTGTAGCAGTCCAGCTCCCTTGCCTCTGGACTAGACAACTTCTGTGGTTCAATCCATGCCCTAGAGTTCCTGTGGGATCAAGGCGAGGCTAGATTTCTGAAACCATATCTTTGCCTAGCTTCTTCCCCCATTCTACCTTACTTCTTTCACTCCTGGCTTCTCCTCACAGTACTCTGTCTATATAATCAGGTGTACAAGAAATGCCATCTCACTCTCTGCTTCTAGGGAACCTGACCTAAAATGTTGCTAATCTCAGTAACCCTGTTGTTTTCTTAGTTCCACCATCACTTATGCAACTAATTCCCTGTATTAAATAATTATCTCTGGCTTCAATTTCCTTTCTTGATTTTTTTTTTTGTTTGTTTGTTTTCTTGGTTGGACCCAGCCTTATATGCATCAACCCTGCTCATCTCCCATGTCTTTGCATATTTAATGTTACTCAACATTAAATGCCCTTGATCCTCTTACATGCTTAGTTATTTCAGTATAATATAATGGTGAATACCCAAGATTTTAGGATCTTAAAATTAGTTTCAAAACCTGAGTCAATTACACCTCCCTCCTCAGGTTGTTGTAAGAATTACATGAGCTATTCTTTTTAAAACACTTAGCACTGTGCCTGAAATATAGGAAGTGCTTAAAAAATGATAGCTATTTGGTTACTGCTGTTGTTTAAGAGATTTGCCCCACTTCAGGTGAGATGCCTCATGTCTTGTTCCCAGAGACAGTGCTTTATTACACTGTATTATAATCTCTGAGTTTTCTTTTTTATTTCTCCCAGAAAATATGAGCTTCTATCTGTCTTCCAGTGGTGTGGTGGCTTTCCAGGAGAGGAAAAGACTTGATATGTAGCATCTGATGGTTTCCATGGTGGAATTACTCCCATTCTGGTTGATTTCAAGATACCGTTGTAATGTCACTAAAGACAGAATTGGGAAGAGATGCACACAAGTGACTCTTACCAGCCAGTGCACACCAACTTCAGTCCCCAATGTTTGTGTATCCCTAACCTTAGCGCACAGTATGTTGAATGTAGGAGCCAGATGTTTAATAAATGACTAAAACATTGTTATTAACTGGTTAGGACTTGATCATATGTAGTAAATTGTCAAAATTCCTTGATATCTAATTTTTATTATACAAACGATAACATCCCTCCCCTACACACACACACACACACACACACACACACACAGACACACAGACACACAAATTGCCCATTCTGTTCATGAATCAAAGTAATAAATGCAGTTATCATGATGTAATGGGAAATGCCCGTCCCCTCCATGGGCAGGTTGTCTACTAACTTAGATGCAAACCCCAGTTTTGTGAGGTGCTAGACACGATTGGGGATCACTCACTTCACCTCTCTCGGCCTCAGCTTCCTCAGAGAGTTGGACTGGATAGTCTCCAAAGTTTCTTCTAATCTCAAAATTTATAAAGCTTAATTAGTATGTAATTTCATTTCTTCATTCCCTCATTTTCCTTATTTCTGTGTTGAACTTTGAGTTCTATATTGTGTTAGATGTTGGAAATGCAAAGATGAATAAGACATCTCCTGGCAAATGAGAATCTCGATGTGCTTTTTATCAACATCTAGTCTCATCAAGATTATGAGTGTGCTCATTGCCTTTTATTCTCCCCCCTGGATTAGAAACCTATATTAGTCAGTTTTCTGTTGCTTATAGTGGAATGTCTGAAACTGGGTAATGTATAAAGAAGTAAAATTTATTTCTTATAGTTTGGGAAGCTGGGAAGTCTGAAGTCCAGGGGTGCATCTGGTGAGGGCCTTCTTTTTGGTGGGAACTGTCTACAGAGTCCTGTAATGATGAAGGAAATCACATGATGAGAATGTGAAGAGCTCTTTTTATAAAGCCACCAGTCTGTGCCCATGATAATCCGTTAAACCATTAAACTCATCATTCCATGAATGGATTAATCTATTCAGAAGGGCATAGTCCTTATGATCCAATCACCTCTTAACGGCCCCACCTTTCAAATATCATAATCAGATTTCCCACTCTCTTAACATTGTTCCAGTGGGGTCAAATTTCCAACACATGAACACGTAGTAAAACCCAAATGGATTTATACAAATGTACAAAAGGCCAAGATTTTGTTGTTCACAAATTTCAGCACTTTGACACATACAGTGATTGTCCTAATGACTCTCTAGAGGGAACTAGAAAATATCAACAGACTAATGTTAATGATATGGAAAGGAGCCTTGGTAAACATTCAAGTCATGTTACTCTCTGATTTAGGTTCATAGTCAATTTACAGAGAGTGTAGTTCATTCAGGAATATTAAGCAAAGTCTGAAAGCATTCTTTTAAGTCTAAGAAGCATATATCCTGTTTCTTACATATTTTAATATGAAAGTCAGAAAGAATGGTGCTTAAGCTTTTGTTTTCTCCTTCAGGGTCATATTCACCTATTGTAACGCCTTTTTTGTTCTCATCCACAGTGATCTCTGCCTTCTCTAAATTCCTATTCTACTCCATACCACAGAGTTTAGCACTTAACTTTTAAAAGATACATTGGTTTCCAGTAGGAATTACTGTTGGGAACATTTTTCAGTTGCTGAAAGCTATTTTTAAAAAGGAAATTTGTTTTGTTTTTGACAGGGGCTGATAGTATCCGGAAATACTGGAGCCGCTACTACCAAGGATCTCAAGGGGTAATATTTGTATTAGACAGTGCATCTTCAGAGGATGATTTAGAAACTGCTAGAAATGAACTGCACTCAGCTCTTCAGCACCCACAGTTATGCACTTTACCCTTTTTAATATTGGCCAACCATCAAGACAAGCCAGCAGCTCGCTCAGTACAAGAGGTATGTCTCATTAACTTGATAACTCTTTGTCTACTTTGTCTTTTGGGCTTTTGCTACGTCACTGGAATCTGGAAAGGTACATATAATTAGGGATATGCTGTTTTCAAAAGAAACCTTACTTTCTTAAGCAGAAAGTCTATCAATCTGATAGTTCTTGTTTAGATAACTAACCCTACTTGAAGAGTGCAGATTATATTTTAACTGCTTAGCAAAAGTTAGAGGATATATCCAGGATTTTTCTCATCTGTTTTGAAGAGCTTCAGGCCTGGTTATTTAAAATTTTTTTAAGCCCCCAATTTAGTTCATTCTCTTTTCCAGCTTTTCAAGGAATGCATCATGCATATCACCATGTGTCGCTTGCCCTCAAATGCCATGTTCTTGTCCCTCTGAAATGCTCACTGTTGTCTAGGAGTGATGGCTCCTATTCTGTAATCAGCCAGGCTGAAAAGTGATGTCCTGTCTTGTAAATTCTGTGCCACCAAATACATTTTAATATGGACACAGTCTTCGTTTTTCTCATTTGATTTCATTTTTTAGCTTGTATCTCTCCTGTAAAAGCATGAGACTAAGTCTGGGCAAATAATTAGTGTCCCACCCTGCAAAGCTTCTGCTTCATGGTACTAAAGTAATAAGATGTGAATAGTTTTTAAAACTTAAATTGTAGTAAATTATAACCTAAGTACAGTGAAATCAAAACTTTTCATGTGTTTCTTTACACCTGTAACTTTCGGAATATGTTTTCCCCTGTCCTTCAGAAAATTATGTGCTTCCTCAAGTGACTTTCAAATAAGATAATCATCTTATAGAAACAATATTACTCTTTAGACTGACAAATAGATGAGGAGCCAAGGGTATAACATGTTGTAACGCCAAACCTTCACACTTAGTGCGTGACCCATGGCAAATAGCTTTGTTCCTGTACCTGGATTCTCACCTGTAAATGGGAATAATTCAATTTATTGTGAGTGGGATTAATTTGGATCATTTACTTTCAAGTACTAAGTGGAAGAGGAGCCAGATATATCGAGTTTTCTTTAAATTTTAGAAAAATAGTAAATAAGGTAAGGATTTGTCATTAAGCAGACAGAACTCATGTTTATCTTTAGTTACTTCATTCAGCATTAAATACTTAAGTACCTTTTTTCTTTACAGATTTTGGAAAACATCTTATAGATAATATTAACTAATTAAAGTAAAAAATAAAAATCTATTCAGAAAGTCATTAATGTATAGTTCTTCAACATTGTAATTATGGTGCCTTCCCAATCTATTCTTAAGAGCTTAGGTAAAGTTTTTAACTCCTCAACATCAGTTCTTCTGCTTGTAAATGGATATAGTATTATGCAATGATGGGTAGTTATGAGTGTTAAATTAGTTTACTATTACAAGATGCTTTGCTGAAAATGCATTGTTATTCTGATATTCGTTATGGAAAATATGATAATATATATGTGTTTATTACAGAATACACCTACACAATATAATATGTGTATGTGTGATATATAATACATATTAATACAACATATAATAACTTCAAATCACTTTATTTAAGTATATGTAATCTCTCAAAAGAGATTTACTTTTAAATTTAAGAAACTGTTTATCTCTTCCTTAAACATCATATAATTGAAACAAATGTGTTTTTTAAACCTAATATATGACTCATGTTAACCATCCATAGAATTTAAAGACTGTCACATTGAATAAAGGAAGTTTTTAGCAAGCAATTGCTTCTGAATGTTCTTCGTGTGTGTTAGCTGGCAGTCTCTCCTAGGAAAAGGGCAAATATCATTTTTCCCCTTTTTGTGATTAATCTTTTAGTAAGACATATACAGCTGTGAGTGTAGAGTAGTCATAGATATGGTTTAAAAATGATTCTAAACATGCATATACTGGATTATTTGTGACTTTGACTTTCCTATATATTTGTATCAACTTTAAATTAATTTTCCTCAAAATTTTTGCTTGTAATGGAATTTGCATAATTCCATTTTGAGGACTGCTTTAAGTAAAACATTTTCTCTTTGATTATATGAACACATACCATACAAGATGCATGTTAACATTTTAGACTGCTTTAATGAAATACATGGGCAAATTTCATTATAGGTCTTGAAGTTTGTGGAAGCATAGTGAAATGTTCACAGTTACTTTGGGTTTGGCCCAAAATGAAAAGAGAAGCTTCCTATTTTCCCTTTTCTTGATAACAAAGAGGTTTCTCTGTATGGTGTGTTATAATGCCTTGTTGAAACACTCTCAGGAATGTTTTAAAAGCGAAATCAATACCTTATTGTTAGAATAAAAATGGAGTTGTGAAATGGACTCTTAAATGTTTTACTAACAATAACTTCAAAATGTTTGGAAGCAGGCATGGGTAGAATATTGAAAAGTATGCAGAGTCACATGTCACTTGAAATACACTTAGCAGTCGTCATTTTTTAAAATTTTTCTTTCTTTCATAAAGGTATAGAATACCCTGTGCCCTATATCTTATAAACATTTTATTCATTTGCACATGCTAATTTGTGTACACTTTGTGGAATTTGCAAATGTTAAAAAGGAGGCTGCAAAACACCTGTGAATTTTAGGCAAAATTCTATTCTTTCAGGATCAAGGAAGATGCATTTAGCATACCAGAAAGCGCAGAACAAATCTTTGATTCAGTTAAGAAAAGACAATGAGTCATAAAGGCTTATCGATTCTTCCCCTCCTCCATTGAAATTATTACATTCTAAGCTTAATGCATTATGCAAAAAATAGGCAGTTATTTATCCTGTCACTGGATATCCTGTCAACTTTAAGAATTTGCTTGTTATTTAATGAGGAAATGGGGATATTGTTGACTTTAGATGTGGGTAGAAGCCAGTGAAATCCAAAAGAGAGAGCTGAATTATCAGTGGGATTCCAACAGAACATAAAAATCATTAGGAAGTTATATATTTAGTCCTTTCCCCTACTATGAGTGTGGCTATGTTTGTGTGGAGCTCTGAGTTAAGAAACAAAGAGACAATGGATAAAATTACTATGTAACCCACAGTCAGGGCAACATGCCCAATAATTTTGTTGCCCTTTCAGAAGCAAGTGTAGTCTTGCACATCACATATTTTCTCTTTCTGAAATATACCTAGTAAGGACCTGTGTTTCACTTACCAGAATTTTAAGATTTTATGTTTTGAGAATTGATAGTGGAAACATGCATTTAAAAAAAAAATAAGCTTAAAAAAAAATAATAGCAGAACACTGGGAAAAAGAACACCTTTTACATACTGTCTGAAGGCCAAGCAATTCTTGCAACAGATGTTTGTTGTATTCACTTTAGGGAGGTGTAGTTACCACAGTTTTCCAGAATTTACTCATATCAACTATTTTTCTCTATAGAAAACATACTAGAAAAGTCTATAATTATGTCAAGTGGCCCACTTGACACATTAGGGAGAGTTCTGGTCCAATTTAAATGATAAAGCTATAAAGTGAGAAATCTTAAGAGTAAATAGGTTGGTTTTCTATTTGTACTGAATTGTAATTGTATCTAATTTGTTTTATAACTCCCATAGGAGAGCATACTTTAGTTCTGAAGTTATTTAATAGATCAGGAGGATTTTATGAGAAGTTAAGTTGATATAGTAGCCAATAAATGTAATCCTATTTTACCTCTATACAGTTACTAATTGTGATTCCTTTACCTCCTAGCTTTTTAAAATCTTATTTTAGTTTTATTGGGCATTACTGTGTCTTATAAAATAACACATTTTGTTAACATGAGAGAAATAGCTCATATGTTCAGCAATATCATCTGATTTGATGTTTGTTCATATCTTTAATCCAAAAGTATTTAACTTTTTCAGAAATAGTACATCAAAAGTACTCTGTTAACTACAAGGGTACTTCAAAAAGTTTGTGAAAAAATAGAATTAAAAGATAATATGAATCTCTCCATGAACTTCTTGAAGTACTCTCGTATTTTTTGGATATTTTCTATTAAAGCAAATATTGATTGAGAAATGTGAAGACTATGAAACAGGTTTTTGAAGCAGATTTATAAGGTCGGATGATGTATTGGTTCCGTGGTTTGTTAATCATGGCACAGAAAAATCCAGCTTCTAAATTTAGGGCATCAATATAAAAGTTGAAATTTGTGATCAGGCTATTTCTCAGTTTCATGCAATCGTAATTCAATTTGTTATTGTGATGTGCATCGAACTTGGTGTTATATTTGAAAAGAATGGAATGTAAATGTAAGAAGAATATTTGCAAGTATTTTTGTAATGATATAAACATTATTGGCTTTTTTAGACTTTTGGTTATAAATATTCAGATTTTTTTAAAAACAATACATCAACACTCAGCGCATCATGCATAGTTTCTTAGTTCTCACATTTTAGTCTATAGACATCTTCTGGAAGAGGGTACTAGTATGTTTTTATGATATGCAGCTATCACATTTAATTATTATTACTTCTTGCTTATAGATAATTATTTCTACATTGTGTACTTGTTTTCCTTTCTACAAAGGATCAGCAGTGTTTTGAAACGTTAAATTTTTGAACCATGTGTGTTTCTAAATAATAAACCTATAGTTGAAAATTTTTAGTTTATGTTTATATTACTTGACAATAGATCAGTTCTTTTTTGGTAGCTCTGTGAAGTAGTGAATATCTTCTCTGATTTTACATAACAAATCATTTATTAGAAAATGCAAAGCAGTGTTTAAATCATATAAAGTACTTAAGCTAATTTAATATTACTTTCTGTATATGGACAGAAATGTGTGTGTTTGTAAAATTATCATTGGAAAGTGTTATTTATATACTTTAAATCTTAAGAGTTTTCCAAGTATCTTGACCTGCCTCTTGGCAAGCATTTTAGAATACTGATTTGATTTCACATAGAGCAGTGTACATACCTATGATGTGAGCAGTTTGAAAACTCCCTTATGGGACATATACTTATTCTAAAATGATATAAGAGATACAAATTATTTTTTTTCCATTCTTTACAGA